AAAACTTGCTAGATCAGATTTTCATGTCAAACTCTCGGGGCGCATGTGAACTAAACCGAGAACAGGCAGTAGAGAAAGACCTTCTGTAGACAGACCTTAGTAGGGTGTATGATTGACCTTTGTGGGACATAGAAATGACCTTTGCGAGGCAGTTTGTGACAAGTTATTAGCTATGGCATGTATCGACAGGACATCGGCTTGGTTTCATCGACATACAAATTAACTATAAGGTCATGGTATTGAAATAGTGCTCCAATGAGTGCGTGCTTTGAGGTTGTGAAGATATTGTTCCAATGAGTGCGTGCTTTGAGGTTGTGAAGATATTGTTCCAATGAGTGCGTGCTTTGAGGTTGTGAAGATATTGTTCCAATGAGTGCGTGCTTTGAGGTTGTGAAGATATTGTTCCAATGAGTGCGTGCTTTGAGGTTGTGAAGATATTGTTCCAATGAGTGAGTGCTTTGAGGTTGTGAAGATATTGTTCCAATGAGTGAGTGCTTTGACATTGTGAAGATATTGTTCCAATGAGTGCGTGCTTTGACGTTGTGAAGCATTCTCATAGATATTTTGGGAAATTCAAATGTATGCATAAATTAAATTTGGTGCATGCATCATTGAGTGTTTGGATCTGTTTTTAATATCTAATCGGATTCAATTTTTTCTCACTTCCATTCCTCGAAGGTTCTCGGTTTCTGCATATCCCCGGATTCATCTGACGGCCCTGTCGCGTCAACCGTTGTCATGGTTACGGAGCTGGGAGAGCCCATTGATCAAATCAAACTGCTTCAAATGTCGTGGGATGATCGCCTCCGAGTGAGTACACAATTGTCTTTTAGGGGGCCGCCCATAAAGTAAGCCCTTCTCGGGGGGTTGGGGGGGGAGGGGAGTTTGACAGTTTGTGACACTGGGAAAGGCAGTTGGGTAAAAGATCTTGTGTGACGTAACACATTTTTAAAAAAGAAATCATACATATAAAACCTGAAATTGACACGTGATGTTGTTGAACTTTCTGTTCTGGTGGATGGAGTCTGACAGGAGATGACGTCAATTTTATACAAAGTTTTCAAAAATAGCGTGACGTACTGAATTGAAAAAATCTTATATAAGATATTTTATCGGTATAGGAGGTTAGTAAGGCACTCTATGAAGCCAAAGTAAGTATGTGCAGGAGGTTAGTAAGGCACTCTATGAAGCCAAAGTAAGTATGTGCAGGAGGTTAGTAAGGCACTCTATGAAGCCAAAGTAAGTATGTGCAGGAGGTTAGTAAGGCACTATATGAAGCCAAAGTAAGTATGTGCAGGAGGTTAGTAAGGCACTATATGAAGCCAAAGTAAGTATGTGCAGGAGGTTAGAAAGGCGCTCTATGAAGCCAAAGTAAGTATGTGAATAAGGTTAGTAAGGCACTCTATGAAGCCAAAGTAAGTATGTGCAGGAGGTCAGTAAGGCACTCTATGAAGCCAAAGTAAGTATATGCAGGAGGTTAGTAAGGCACTCTATGAAGCCAAAGTAAGTATGTGAATAAGGTTAGTAAGGCATTCTATGAAGCCAAAGTAAGTATGTGCAGGAGGTCAGTAAGGCACTCTATGAAGCCAAAGTAAGTATATGCAGGAGGTTAGTAAGGCACTCTATGAAGCCAAAGTAAGTATGTGCAGGAGGTTAGTAAGGCACTCTATGAAGCCAAAGTAAGTATGTGAATAAGGTTAGTAAGGCATTCTATGAAGCCAAAGTAAGTATGTGCAGGAGGTCAGTAAGGCACTCTATGAAGCCAAAGTAAGTATGTGCAGGAGGTCAGTAAGGCACTCTATGAAGCCAAAGTAAGTATGTGCATGAGGTCAGTAAGGCACTCTATGAAGCCAAAGTAAGTATATGCAGGAGGTTAGTAAGGCACTATATGAAGCCAAAGGGGTGCTAGGTGGCCGAGTAGTGTAAACTGAGCAAATCTCAAGTTGGTGGTCTGGAGTTCAATTCCAGCCCGAGCAAAAACACCACCAGCACCCCGGGTAGATGGGACTCGTTAACCTTGGATGGCAACTCATCTAAGAGTAGGAAACTCTGAAATCAAACCCGGAGTTGGAGTCCCGAAAGGCGGATAACATTTGTACAATGAAACATTCCGACAACATCGACGTCACATTGTGACGGACGGATGCCAGCTATGAAGCCAAAGTAAGTATGTGCAGGAGGTTAGTAAGGCACTCTATGTAGCCAAAATAAGTATGTGCAGGAGGTTAGTAAGGCACTCTATGTAGCCAAAGTAAGTATGTGCAGGAGGTTAGTAAGGCACTCTATGTAGCCAAAGTAAGTATGTGCAGGAGTTTAGTAAGGCACTCTATGTGTGCAAGAGGTTAGTAAGGCACTCTATGTGTGCAAGAGGTTAGTAAGGCACTCTATGAAGCCAATGAATTACAATTAAATGAAGAAGAAAGTTAAATATATGGGGGTTTTTGGGGTTTTATTTGTTGTTGTTTTGAAACTATTTTCCGTAAAGACTTTGTAAACAAGTCTTTTTGACAACTCTTTGAAATTTTAAATTGAATACACTAAAAAAAAATATGTACACTTATCAGCTAACCTTGCTATTCTTGTACACTAATGGTAAATCTTAATTGAAGAAAAACAAGGTTCAACAAGCTGGATATTATGTTCTTGCCGTGGGCGCCAAATATCCTCAGCGCGTCTCTGCTGTCATAGTCCACCGGACCACCACCGAAAACAATAAACGAATTAATCGCGCAGGTATCTGCGTCGGGCGTTGAGGACTTCTCGGCAAGTGAAAGAAATGCATCACCCGTGACAGTGGCAGGTTGTGACACCTGAGTGCGGGTGTTCCACGATGACCTCCCTTCCACCTGGCTTGACACGGGCTCAAGTGAGGTCAGATCTGGGGAGCTCTTCGTCCAGGCACCGGTTGTGTACAAACAGCGTTAAATAGGGGCTCCAGCATTTCTATACAGGTCATTAATTCATCTTGCTTATCAGTATGTAGCCAGTAAGCTAAAACCCTGGTAGCTGGGACGTGTTGGCTGCAGTTATTGCTAACCTCTGCATGGGATTTGGGGGCGGTAAAGATTACGTCTGCATTTCACGCCAAACAGGTTTGTTGTTGTTGTTTTTTTTTTTTTTTTTTGTTGTTTTTTTTTTGGTGTGCATATAGGAATGAAATAAAGAATGATGTCAGACAAAGAGCAAATTTCACGTCATAATTGGAGTATACATAATTCGAGTATCATAAAGAATAATGTCAGGCAAAGAGCAAATTTCTGGCCATAATTCGAGTATCATAAAGAATAATGTCAGACAAAGAGCAAATTTCAGGCCATAATTCGAGTATCATAAAGAATGATGTCAGACAAAGAGCAAATTTCACGTCATAATTCGAGTATCATAAAGAATAATGTCAGACAAAGAGCAAATTTCACGTCATAATTCGAGTATCATAAAGAATGATGTCAGACAAAGAGCAAATTTCACGTCATAATTCGAGTATCATAAAGAATAATGTCAGGCAAAGAGCAAATTTCTGGCCATAATTCGAGTATCATAAAGAATAATGTCAGGCAAAGAGCAAATTTCTGGCCATAATTCGAGTATCATAAAGAATAATGTCAGGCAAAGAGCAAATTTCTGGCCATAATTCGAGTATCATAAAGAATAATGTCAGGCAAAGAGCAAATTTCTGGCCATAATTCGAGTATCATAAAGAATAATGTCAGACAAAGAGCAAATTTCAGGCCATAATTCGAGTATCATAAAGAATGATGTCAGACAAAGAGCAAATTTCACGTCATAATTCGAGTATCATAAAGAATAATGTCAGACAAAGAGCAAATTTCACGTCATAATTCGAGTATCATAAAGAATGATGTCAGACAAAGAGCAAATTTCACGTCATAATTCGAGTATCATAAAGAATAATGTCAGGCAAAGAGCAAATTTCTGGCCATAATTCGAGTATCATAAAGAATAATGTCAGACAAAGAGCAAATTTCAGGCCATAATTCGAGTATCATAAAGAATAATGTCAGACAAAGAGCAAATTTCAGGCCATAATTCAAGTATCTTAAAAAATAATGTCAGGCAAAGAGCTAATTTCTGGCCATAATTCGAGTATCATAAAGAATAATGTCAGAACAAAGAGCAAATTTCACGTCATAATTCGAGTATCATAAAGAATAATGTCAGACAAAGAGCAAATTTCAGGCCATAACTCAAGTATCTTAAAGAATAATGTCAGGCAAAGAGCAAATTTCAGGCCATAATTCGAGTATCCGCCATTAGTTGGATAAATCATAAGGTCTACTGCTCTGGCGGAAAAATCCGATGACTAGGACAACTGCACAGCTCTCCTCTGTCCACTAGTCAGGGTTCGTTGCCTCACATAAATGCCAAGAATAAACTCGTTGCATAGTTCTCATAAAACGATGTGCACGTGTTCTAACTATCTGAGAGCATTTTAGCCTTTGTCCTATCAAAGTAAGGATGTTCATTTCCGTTGGCTCGTTCTTAGAGCCGTCACGTGACTTTTGGCGGCTCTCCTCCCCTGCCCTTTTCAGTTGCGTGCACCCGTCATTCGAATCACACAATTAATTGTATTCCACACCACAACTTTGGGCCCCTTAAATCTCCGATGCCCCTTGCAGCCTCAGGGCTCGCAAGACCCACGCGTCGGCTCCACTCGCTAAGAATATCATTTTTTTGAGAAAGCTCTTCTAAAAAGTTAACAAACGTTTATTAAAAAGTATGCCAAATGTATACTTTCTTTTTAGTATAAAATTAAAATGGAATGTTTAAGTTTCCCCTTGCCCTCTGCTCAATGTTAATGTTTTATATCCTCCTCATCATCATCATCATCATCTTCATCATCATCATCATCTTCCAGGTTGCCTACGACCTGACACAACTGATCCACCATCTGTCCCGGACGCCACATGGATCACTTGTCCTCAACGACTTCCGGCGCACACAGTTTGTCCTGGTCAACGGGTCACTGAAGCTGACCGACGTGGACGACGCGACATTTGGTGAGCCGACGTGTTCCGACGAGGACCAGTGTGTCGTCGTGTCAGAGGACAGCGGCGCCACCCACCGGTAAAGAGATTGCATGTGTTGACACGTCATAGAGCGTACTCAGCACTCACCGTGGTGGGTGAATGTCTCAAGGAGCTGTCCGTGCCTTCAAGAACTCAGTATTGACATAGCACACCCTGCACATTATAGTATAATTACAGAAGTGGGGAATCAGTCGGTGGAATGGGGAGGGGGTGCAGCTATCTTTCTTGTTCTCATCTGTTAGTGGATCTTTTTTTTTAAGAATCTTGAACAGTGATCTTTTGTAACAACAACATAAAAAATAGTACTATTATTTTTTTTTAAATAGTTTAAATATTTAAAACCTCTATTTACTAACTTTACTTTTGTTTGTGGCTTGCTGCGAGGCAAAATCTTCGGACGCATAGTGACCCACTTTCCGTCAAGCTATCGACCTGAAACGTTATGCATAGAATCGTTGCCGGTGACAACACACTCTATCAAATTCGCAACCCCAACCCCAATAGTCCGTTGTTCCTATTTTTTCAAGGCGAAGATCAAATGAAATTCCCAATAGCTGCGCTAAATGAGATTCTTGTTGTTGTTTTTTTATCGCAAGTGTCCTTGGTGCGTAATGTTGTCTTTTGTTTTTTTTTCTGAAATAGATCTGCTGTGTCAAAGCGGGTGGGACATTAGACTATTACTAGAGTTCAGGGGCGTGAACAAATGTGCGGTTGCGAGCCTTGAAAAAAAAAACAAATTGAATGCATGTTTTGTCCCATTCTCAGCCCCCACACCCCCACCCCCATTGCTTGATAATACATTTTATAAAGGATTTGTAGGAAAAACTTTCTTGAATGTTAATTAACAATTGTCTTTTATAAACAATCCACACAAGACGTCACTCTGATAGAGCGCCCTCTGTCCACAGACTTTCGTGTGTCCAAGGCTATTGTCAGCATCACAACGAATTCTCAAATATAAAGAAAGCCGGGCATTACTTCATAACCTCTTATTTGCGTCACGGAACACCAGGGGCTCTCAAGCCATGGATAGATGATGTGATCAGCGGTTACTTGAACCTGAACATGGACACCACACAGTTGCTCAAAGTGTTGGATCACGTGATTGCACTCTACAGATCAGGATCACACCTGGCCCACAGAGAGTGCACACGCAATGGCGGTAAGACCATGCTTTCGTCTGCAAGAGCGATTCTTGGTGGTTTGTATAGATGTGGCCCATGGTCTCTGCCTAGCGGTCCGGAGATCCTTAGTTGTTGTTCTACGCCAGGTCTCTTGCGGTCTTCTACGATTTCATTTATCTTCGCTTTCCATCCAGTCGCTGTCTTGGGAAGTTGATTTGGTGGCATCTTACTCCAAATGTGACCAAGACATCTCCAGTGAACAAGACATCTCCAGTGACCAAGACTCTCCAGTGACCAAGACATCTCCAGTGACCAAGATATCTCCAGTGACCAAGATATCTCCAGTGACAAAGACATCTCCAGTGACCAAGACATCTCCAGCGACCAAGACATCTCCAGTGACCAAGATATCTCCAGTGACCAAGACATCTCCTGCGACCTGCAGTCAGTTTATGGAGTATTTGGCATTCCCAATCAACCCCCCCCCCCCCAAGCGTCTCTTTTCTTTACTGGACACTTGACACTGCCTCTACTTTCTGGACAGTTACTCTACTTACTGGACATTGACTCTCTTTGCTGGAATTTGACTGTGCCCAGAGTTTCTATGGACCTTTCACTGTGGAGGGCGGGGGGGGGGGGGAATCTATTGTTGTAATGTGATTATTGCCTTTTAACACCATGGTAAACGTACAGACACTAATATACCTTGACATAATGAACGGATCTTTCCCCACAGCGTCACCATACGCCTTGTACAGAAACAGCGACCTGCCGGGACAGTTTGATTACAGGTGCGGCTTGGCGGCCCCGGGTGCAGGGTGCGCGCTGTCCGTGTTTGACCTGCAGGAAGCAAAGCATCTTTGTGATTTAGACAGTCGGTGCAAAGGTTTTATTTGGACACACAGGAAAACGTGGACAGGTTGGAAAGAATAGAGAGATAAACTATTATGTGGTTTTGTTGGTATTCAGTTTAAAAAAAAAAATTTTTTAATCTTTTGTTTAAAAATGTACTAAAAAGTATCAACTAATTGAGCTCTGTTAGTTTAGGTCGTTGTACTAAAAAGTATCAACTAATTGAGCTCTGTTAGTTTAGGTCGTTGTACTAAAAAGTATCAACTAATTGAGCTCTGTTAGTTTAGGTCGTTGTACTAAAAAGTATCAACTAATTGAGCTCTGTTAGTTTAGGTCGTTGTACTAAAAAGTATCAACTAATTGAGCTGTGTTAGTTTAGGTCGTTGTACTAAAAAGTATCAACTAATTGAGCTCTGTTAGTTTAGGTCGTTGTACTAAAAAGTATCAACTAATTGAGCTCTGTTAGTTTAGGTCGTTGTACTAAAAAGTATCAACTAATTGAGCTCTGTTAGTTTAGGTCGTTCGAGTTTTGCGGATGAGGCAATAAAACAGTTCTGTCATCAAAACATTTAAATAAACCACGTGGCATGGTCAGGTGTCATTTTTCTAATTGTTCAAAGGGCCATGAGGTACTACTACCCGTTGTTTGAATAGTTTGACATCGAAGTAATTTAAGCAAAAACCCAGATAGCTTCAAGTTGGTTCATCAAAAACCTATATAGCTTCAAGTTGGTTAAGCAAAAACCCAGATAGCTTCAAGTTGGTTAAGCGAAAACCAAGATAGTTTCAATTTGGTTAGGCAAAAACCCAGATAGCTTCAAGTTGGTTCATCAAAAACCTATATAGCTTCAAGTTAGTTAAGCAAAAACCCAGATAGCTTAAAGTTGGTTAAGCGAAAACCAAGATAGCTTCAAGTTGGTTCAGCAAAAACCAAGATAGCTTCAAGTTGGTTAAGCAAAAACCCAGATAGCTTCAAGTTGTTTAAGCAAAAACCCAGATAGCTTTAAGTTGGTTAAGCAAAAACCCAGATAGCTTCAAGTTGGTTAAGCAAAAACCCAGATAGCTTCAAGTTGGTTAATCAAAAACCCAGATAGCTTCCGTTTTTCTCTAAGTTCAACTAAGTGAAATATTTGACTTTTTTTGTGTGTGTTTATTATTTCATTTATGTTACCTTTTTTTTTTTTCCATATTGCCCTATTTCAGGTAGAACAATGATCCATCTGAAAAACGGGTTGTCTACTCTTTCATTGAATGAATCCACAGACGTCTACGTCAAGCCAGGTTGAAGAAAGGATCCCAACCATTCTGAAGCAGAGTACAGAAATCTACTGGCAGGAATCGGAGGCGCAACGTTGTGATGGTGTGCTTCGATGCTCCTGCATAATGTGTGCAACGCTGGGAAAAGCCATGTCCGTCCTCACACAATGATGTCAAGTTATAAAATGAGTTGTTGTTCATCCTTCGCCAAGTCCATGTTCGACTTGAGTAACAGCCTTGACCTGATCTGTATTTTCTTTAAAGTGAGGGAGAGGTAATAAATTCGTCAGCCTCACTCTCTCATCCTTGCCTATTTGATCCAATGTCAAGACTTAGTCAAGAGTGGAGATGCAGTGGATGACGGCACTAAGACAACAAGTAAAACTCTGATCGACCAATGGGCCACGTGACAGGTTAAAGAACTGTTATCAGAGTTGACCTATCCAGACCACGTGACTGGTCAAAGAACTGTTATCAGAGTTGGACTATCCAGACCACGTGAATGGTCAAATAACTGTTATCAGTGTTGGACTATCCAGACCATGTGACAGGTCAAAGAATTGTTATCAGAGTTGGACTATCCAGACCATGTGACTGGTCAAATAATTGTTATCAGAGTTGGACAACCAGACCACGTGACTGGTCAAATAATTGTTATCAGAGTTGGACTATCCAGACCATATGACTGGTCAAATAATTGTTATCAGAGTTAAACTATCCAGACCATGTGACAGGTCAAATAATTATTGTCAGAGTTGGACTATCCAGATCATGTGACTGGTAAAATTATTGTTATCAGAGTTGGACTATCCAGACCATGTGACTGGTCAAATAATTGTTATCAGTATTGGACTATCCAGACCATGTGACTGGTCAAATAATTGTTATCAGAGTTGGACTATCCAGACCATGTGATTGGGCAAATAATTATTGTCAGAGTTGGACTATCCTAACTACGTGACTCCTGGACGCTCATAGGCCAGCCATTTGTAATATTATTTTTGAATTTAAATCGAGTGGTTGGTAAAACCTATTTTTGAATATTTTTGAGTGGTTGGTAAAATCTATTTTTGAATATGTTTTGAGTGGTTGGTAAAATCTATTTTTGAATATGTTTTGAGTGGTTGGTAAAATCTATTTTTGAATGTATTTTGAGTGGTTGGTAAAATCTATTTTTGAATGTATTTGGAGTGGTTGGTAAAATCTATTTTTGAATGTATTTTGAGTGGTTGGTAAAATCTATTTTTGAATATGTTTTGAGTGGTCGGTAAAATCTATTTTTGAATATGTTTTGAGTGGTTGGTAAAATCTATTTTTGAATATGTTTTGAGTGGTTGGTAAAATCTATTTTTGAATATGTTTTGAGCGGTTGGTAAAATCTAGTGTTAAGAGGTGCAGTGTTTCTTTCAGAAAATTTCCCCCCTAGTGGTGGGTGGGGGGGGGGTGCAGTGACCAGTGGCCAAAGGGGTGGCTCATGTCCCCTGGCGCCAGATCAGCTGTTGCGGATGGCATAAAATGAGTCTTGTCTTCTCCTTCTTCTTCTTATATTTGAGGGGCCCACGATCAATTTGTTGATCATTCTGGCTCCTGGTTTAAATGTAAAGAGTTTGCCTTCTCTTAGATGGGTTGCCATCCAAGGCTAACGAGTCCCATGGTGGGACCCAACAACCCTGACGCCAAACACTCCAGCTTAGGTAGAAAGGGTGTGAATTTGGTGGTACAACTAGATGTCACTTTTCCTTTATATCGAGATGCTTTATTTTCGGACAACTGCAGAGCTTGGATCGTGAAAGAGAAGCTGCAAAAATTCTATCAGACCAAAATTGGTGATCATTTTCATCGAGAAGTAGGGCAGACATCAAGTGCGCCGAAGAATCTTGAGCAGAGGAGAAACCTTCTCCCCCAGAAACTTTTTTATTATTTCAAAATCAAGAGGTGTCTTTTATAGTATACAGATACTTGAATTCAATGTTTCTATTATACTTTTTTATCAGAAAATATTTAAGGGTCTGGGAGAGGCATATGGTGCCCAAGTGCCTTGCATAAACTGAACTCACTCCGGTTGTGGCATGCCCCAAAGTTTAAGGGTCTGGGAGAGGCATTATGGTGCCATGCATAAACTGAACTCACTCCGGTTGTGGCATGCCCCAAAGTTTAAGGGTCTGGGAGAGGCATTATGGTGCCCCAGTGCCATACACAAACAGAACTCACTCCGGATATGGCGTGCCCCAAAGTAATCTTTTGGCACACGCTTATATTCCACCCAATACTGTAACACTCATCAGGATGAAGGAAAAAGGGAGGGGGGCAGAAATTAAGGATGCTGAAGACGGGCTAATTCTAACACAGGGGTGCATTCTGGCCATTGGCTGCACTTTGGGGATTATAACAGGACATTAATCGATATGTTTTTAGGTGGTACACTTTTTGGAATTCGCCCAGTGTAGCGTTTTGGTGAAGTACACAAGATATCTATATCCTTGACTTTGAGTACGAGACAACCTTTTTGTTAAATGCCACACTCTTTTACAGCCATCTCACATTATTTGTTTCGCGGGGTCCTTTATTTTTTTCTCCAGGTTTTCCCATACTTTGTTTAGCTCATTTCCTTTAAATATCGCAACCCGGAAATTAAAAAATCTTCTTTTTTTTTTTTGTCCATCTCATAATTGGTCGCTTTTCACTGGCCCAAAACTAGCTGTTATTGCATTCAATATTTTATTGACCCATGCTGTCATAAAAGGGCGACAATCTCTCAAAATTGATGATGACCCGGTGCACGGTCTCAAGGGAGACAATCTCTCAACATTGATGATGACCCGGTGCACGGTCTCAAGGGAGACAATCTCTCAACATTGATGATGACCCGGTGCACGGTCTCAAGGGAGACAATCTCTCAACATTGATGATGACCCGGTGCACGGTCTCAAGGGAGACAAACTCTCAACATTGATGATGACCCGGTGCACGGTCTTTTACAGCATGTGTTTCTCTTACTTTTTGTTTTCTCAACTACCCCCCCCCCCAATTATTAGAATTTTTTTTGTTAATTATGAGATGTCAAAGATGACCTTAACTTCTACACATTACGGCATTTAAGCAGGGAAGAGGAGCAGAACAGGGAGCTAGAGCTTGGAGTTCTGGAGCAGGTTCTTTTTGCATATTGAAGCTGGAAAAATTTCTTACTGCTGCAAGCTCCAAAATGTATTAACATATTAATATATGCATAGCTTGAACATTTTTAATTAAAAACAAATAGTGTATTGAAGGCCTTCAACTATGTTGCCCCACTCTTCTACTAGCCATGTTGTCCTACTCTTCTATTAGCTATGTTGCCCCACTCTTTTACCACTATGATGCCCCCAATCTGTTACAGCTATGTCATTGTTACATGCATTTCTTGTCTAATTAAAAAGATTGGTTAGTGACAATAATAAACACATTTCTTCTAACACTAAGCAACTCCCCAACAACCCCCCTCCCCACTCCTCTTATTTTATATTTTTCTGGAGCGGAGCAGAGCTGACAAAAATTTGTCTGGAGCAGAGCTGTGCTAAACTGACTGCTTCAGATATATGTTTATATTAATTTATAACTACTAAAATACACAGAAAAATGATTTTTTACCCTACTTTCCAATTTTTAAATCTGCGAGGTTGGTATTACTTTTTAATGCAACTGATAGTAAGAAATCTTCTTTAATTAAAGTTAGAAAAGTTAGAAAAAAAAGTAAAAAATTTTAGAATTTAAAAAACTAATTCCATCCATGTGTTGAATTTTAAGCACATTGACAGTGTTTGGGGATTCTCAACAATAAATAAGCTCATCATAATTATTAACATTAATATATTAATTAGACACCAACAATTTTTGTCAATAAAACAATATAATTTAAGCTTTAATAATAATTATATAACAATACTAATACACAAGTAAACGTTTCGGCACATACACCAAAACATTTAAATAAGTATAAATTAAAATTATTTAATATATATATATACATATATCCTACCAAAAAAAATTGTTAAAAAATAGGAGAGGGTACCCTCTTCAAGCTAATATTGTATTAATTACGTTTTTAAACTCTTTATAGTGTATGTTTATAACCTTGGGAAATCTTGGATTTAAAAAAAATTGTTTACAAAATCTTGAAAAAATTGAGTGGCAGCCCTGTCCCTAATCCCTTGTTGGGGATCCCTTGGCATGTGCAGCATTTTCCTCGCTGTTAACTTAATCTGGCATTGCTTTTGTATTAAAAAAAAATTGAAATCTACTAATTCACAAAAACCCCAATCAATCAATACAGTTCTCTAAGCCAAAATTGTAACAAATAACTCTAACTAATGACACTCATTACTCATAAAATTTTGTTATTGCTTTGCACTAGGGTCTCTAAAGCGGATCCTGGGATCCAGCAGGATTTATATTTTAAAGTAAACAAAAGATTTCGCAGGAGATTTTTCCCTCTTAGGTACAGACTTTAAAAATACAATGTTCTCTCTTTTTTTTTTTATTTCACCTTAATGTTACTCAGATTAGCACAATTATTTTGTAAATGCAATAATAAGTGCAAGCCAGGACCTGTGACATCTAGTTAACTCAACTGCACTGAATTATTTGGAGGCCAAGTGAACTTTCCCATGATGTTAAAAATACACTTTTAAATAGAGTAAATTCTTGGAGATGAAAACATATTAAAACTATATTTTTAAGTATAATTGTATAGTTGTAATTACAACATAGTGACATAGTAAATGAAAATTCCATGGTTGAAATTGTAAATTAATTTAAGATACCAATAAAAATTAAAATTATCATTAAAAATTCGAATAAGTTTTGCAATTTAGATCTAATTCTTTCAAAACAAGCAAACTAAGGCTAAGGCTTACTCATTTTCATTTATTTAATTATTTATTATAATTATAAACATACTAAATAAAAATTTAAATAATAGTAATAATAGTACAGTCAGAGTAGGCTATACTATATTATATACATATAATAATATAAGGCATAGGCTATAGACTATAGTCTGCTGGATAGCGAGTGTCATCAGTAAACAACTTAATTTGGTAGAAATGTCTACAAAAATCGAAAGATTATCCAAATATATTGAATTATTTACATTACCTTATCTCGATGGATCATTATTAGAGTTTGAGCCGCAGTAAAATAATTTAAATATTTTTAAAATTATCATACGATTGGACTAAGAAAATGACGAAAATCCAAATTTGTCGACAAGGAAAACCCATTACAGTCTTATAGTGATCTCCCCTTCCTTAGTGAATAAATATTTCGCAATTTTCTTGAAGGATTTATCATTATTATTTTGGTGTCATGTATGGATTCGTCGATATCACAGATAATTACTAATTCTGGAGGTGTACAAAGAGCTTGCAATTGAAAACCATGCACATGACCTCAAAGTGAGTTAATGAAAAGCGAGTTCTTGGGTTTTTTCTTTCTTTTATAAATAATAATCTTCAACGATACTTAAACAATCAGCTCTTCGAGCGGCTCCCAAAAGATTTTCTTAGCAGATATAATCTATAATAACAGTTGCCCCTCGCTCAAAAAAAGTTGTGCACCACTTACAAAATGGAATTCGTTTGACAAATATTGAGATAAGTTTTTCATTCCCAGATATTGCATATTCCAACATAGAAATAGATGTAAAAGGAAATTGTAAACTACAGGTACTTATCATAAGACTTTTTTTATGAGTTGCACCGGTTGATAGACGATTTATTCAAATTTAAAGGAATGAAATATTTTAAGAGTTAGAGCTACGAATCGAATAGTAGACATGTGGGTGTGGGTCATCAGGAACATACTATATCTTGGACATTAAATTTGCCCTGGTAAAATAAACTTACTGTCATGGGAGACAACCGTGTAAATTCAAACAAAAGAAAACACGTCATCCACAAATTCAAAATGGTTAAACAAAATATATTAGAAATCCCAATAGATAATATGTCATTTTCTTCATTATTTACACCATTAACTGCTTTCTTAAACCCCAGTCTGTACGTATTTTTCCGCGATTACCAAATCTAAATGATCACTTACTTCTACGCTATAGAAATACTTAAGATGTCTTGTGTTAAAAATTGTAAAATGTTGTCTTGGTTACAAATATAATGTAATTATTTACGTGCTCAAAATGAATATGTAATATGTAATTTTAAAAAAATATATCCATTTATTTGGATCAATAAAGAAACTTAAATTATGTTTGGGGGAAGCTACTTTACAAGAGAAAATAAAGATATTTATAGTTAGGTAAATAAAACAGTGCAATGTCCTCATCCTGTTATTTAACCACTATTCAGTGGTCTAATGCAGAGATATCTGAACCAGAAGACCAATATGAAAAAAAATTTAAACAGGGACCCTCATTCATCCCCTTTATATTTCTATCCCTCTCCCCAAAATAAACTGTTACGCTACAACCCTATTGTGGACAAGTGACCCATTGTAAGAGTCCCTGTAGTTTTTTAAAATGTATTTTGTTATATATCAAAGGCTGAAGAGGCCATAACAATTAATTGTCTTTTTATTATAATTATAACTGAATGACTCCTTGAAGGATAATTTTCTCTTGCTGATTAGAACTTATTAAGAAGAGGCTGATGAAAGTCATAACAACACAAAACATTTTGGATTTTTCTGACCACATAAGTTAGCTCATATGTGGACAATCTACAACGCGGGGGGGGGGAGACCTCCAGTCCTAATGTGAGCTGTGTTACAAAAAATGTTACATATTATAATAAGTGAAAAATGAAGATGTTAAGGTTGCACTCGAAAACTCAATTATCTTCATGCAGCACTTCTGACGTGGAGCCTGAACCATGATTTCACTCCCCAGTCCTGTTTATAGGAGTTGACTTGATAAAGCAAACTTGTGATTATTACTCCATTTGAAGTACATTTTACAACTCTGTAGACATTAAAATTTTATTAAACTTTTACTATAAATAAAGTATCTGTAGTCAAAATATCTTAATTATAATGCCTTATCTTCACTCATAATTTAAGTATTATATTAAAGCATCCCATATTAATCCTGCTTTTGGACTAAAATTAAAATTAGCTATTAAAATTAATGGCTTTGAAAAGCAATAATTTACTTTTAAAATATTTTGACTATTTCACAACTTTAAAAATGTCAAGTTAGAATACAGGAAATAAAACAAGTATTTCATCCAGTCAGTGCCTCCAAAACTTGTAAAATAGAGCAGCAATATTTGTCTCAAGCAAACCCACAGATGAGAAGCATGATTATAGCCATAAATTTTTATCTCAAGCAAACCTACAGATGAGAAGCATGATTATAGCCATACATCTTTTATCTCAAGCACACCCACAGAGGATCAACAAACACATGTGTTAACATGGCCAAATTTTATTAACAGTCCAACAACTATGTTATAATATCTGCACTAAATAAAATTTTAAAACATGAATTTCCTAAAAGCCTGAAGTCAGGGACTTCTCCATATTGCTGAGAGAAAAATTATTTCAAGTGATGAAAAAAGAAATAAAAAGTCTTCTCTTTGACATGATCTAAGACCATCAACTAAAAAATTCCCACAAAGCATGTAATAAAACAAAGGGAGATCATTCAACAAGTAACCAAAACTCCCAAAGAAGAGTGAAAAATAAAGAAAAGAAAAATACTTATGACTTTAAAATTACAACCTAAAAATAAGATGAATATGCAACCAGACCCAAGAAGTTTATATTTATTTTGGTTTCCATAGAGTGTAAATTAAATTATTAAAAACTTGTTGGTGTCAATGTTGTTGATATTTTTACTCCAGAATATGTCATAAGAACAATGAACAACAGAATAGAGCTGAGTATTTTTTTTAGCCCTTTTAGTGCTCACTAAATTGAAACAACTTTTTAACATAATGAATGTTGGATAAATCAAAATCACTTAGTATGACCCCACTCAGGGCGACCAGTTATTTTTATTTCAGTCAGGGCCGGGATATCCTTACGGTTGCCTTGTTTCGTGTGTTTGTGGTAGTTGCCACGGTGACGAGGCTGCTGTCCGTAGTTTTGAGGTCCTGGCTGTGACTGCGAAGGGTGCTGGTTGGGCTGCTGGTACTGAGGCTGGGAATAGCTGGACATTCTGGGCGGCTGTGGTGGAGGGGCCTGTGGGATATGACTTGAGGGTGGGTAATAACTGGGGTAGGGTGGCTTGGGGATGGAGGGAGGGGGATAAGAGTGCTGAGGAGGGGGCTGAGAGACTGGCGGAGGTGGGTACAAAGGAGGAGGGTAGGAGGACTGGGGCACAGCATAGGGATCATAGGGCGGTGGGGCAGATGGAGGTGGGGGGTATGAGTGGGGAGGTGGTAGCGAAGGGGGCTGGTACTGAGACGGGGGAGGGGGGTACCCATAAGACAGATCAGATTGGGGCACTGAGGGCGGAGCGTACTGTGAGGTGTCTGGGGGAGGAGGGTGGTGACTATGGTGCTCAGCATAGGAAGGGGCCACAGGCTGAGGAGGAGGTGCTGTGCCTGCCAGAATAGACTGAATATTCTGGGAACCTTCTTGTGACATGAACGATGCCGTGTACATTTGGGATGAGATGTATGGGTTGTATGAGGAGAACTCTATGTTGCTCTGTTGCACTGAGCTGTAACTGGGGTGCTTATCTGAAGATGGGGTGATGTGCTGGGCAACTGGGATGGGAGCACCTGGAAGATGGACAAAATTTATGTATTTACAATGACAATTTTTGTATAATTTAAACTATAAATTAAAATATTTTCTTCTTAACTTTCAGGGATAGTATGTTTTATAATTTATATACATAAGGACTGCAAAATATGTATCTATTTATCTTGGTCAAATAATTGTCATTTTATTATGTCACATTTTCTACTTTCATTCTTAAAAGAATACGATATAACATCCAATGTCTATGTTCACCACCATACTTAACATGACATAACATCCAATGTCTATGTTCACCGCCATACTTAACATGACATAACATCCAATGTCTATGTTCACCACCATACTTAACATGACATAACATCCAATGTCTATGTTCACCACAAAACTTAACATGACATAACATCCAATGTCTATGTTCACCACAATACTTAACATGACATAACATCCAATGTCTATGTCACCACCAGACTTACCATAACATAACATCCAATGTCTATGTTCACCACCATACTTAACATGACATAACATCCAATGTCTATGTTCACCACAATACTTAACATGACATAACATCCAATGTCTATGTTCACCACAATACTTAACATGACATAACATCCAATGTCTATGTTCACCACCATACTTAACATGACATAACATCCAATGTCTATGTTCACCACCATACTTAACATAACATAACATCCAATGTCTATGTTCACCACAATACTTAACATGACATAACATCCAATGTCTATGTTCACCACAATACTTAACATGACATAACATCCAATGTCTATGTTCACCACAATACTTAACATGACATAACATCCAATGTCTATGTTCACCACAATACTTAACATGACATAACATCCCTTGTCTATGTTCACCACCATACTTAACATGACATAACATCAATGTCTATGTTCACCACCATACTTAACATGACATAACATCCAATGTCTATGTTCACCACCATACTTAACATGACATAACATCCCTTGTCTATGTTCACCACCATACTTAACATGACATAACATCCAATGTCTATGTTCACCGCCATACTTAACATGACATAACATCCAATGTCTATGTTCACCACAATACTTAACATGACATAACATCCAATGTCTATGTTCACCACAATACGTAACATGACATAACATCCAATCTCTATGTTCACCACCATACTTAACATGAAATAACATCTCATGTCTCTGTTCACCACCATACTTAACATGACATAACATCCAATGTCTATGTTCACCACCAGACTTACCATAACATAACATCCAATGTCTATGTTCACCACCAGACTTACCATAACATAACATCCAATGTCTATGTTCACCACCAGACTTACCATAACATAACATCCAATGTCTATGTCACCACCAGACTTACCATAACATAACATCCAATCTCTATGTTCACCACCATACTTAACATGAAATAACATCCCATGTCTCTGTTCACCACCATACTTAACATGACATAACATCCCATGTCTATGTTCACCACCATACTTAACATAACATAACATCCAATGTCTATGTTCACCACCAGACTTACCTGTAGTAGTTGAGGCACTGCTTTGTGAAGACACTGGTTTCACGTCCTTCTCGGTCTTGATAGATTTGGCTGCTGGTTCAGCTTCTGATGGTGTGTCCTGAGAGTTTTGGTTTTGGAAAAATTTAATTTTGGGATTTAAAAAATATCACCATAATTTTCACTTTTTAGTTAAAATATTTGATTATTTGAAAAGTGCAAAAAGGGGCCTGACAGGCACCTCACAGGCGACTCATAGGTTAATGAATTGTAACTTAATATCATTTGGTGAAATGTGACAAAACAAAAAAGAAACGAAAAGTGCAAACCGCCTTTTTAAAATAATTGAGAAAGTAATTCCCCTTCTTGCTGTCTTACATGAAAATTCATTTTTGAATGAAGCAAGAGAAGACTAAAAAGTTGAGTTATTGTTAATCAACTTTGAATGTACAATTTCCCTTTTAAACTTTCATTTTAATCCACTATGTACTAAATAGCCTTGACAAAATACGGGCATGTTACAAAAATTGTTGAAATGAATCAGTGAGATTAAATATTTAGGGCAATCAATTAATCCCTTCAATTTCAATCATGGACAATTTTTAATCATTTTTGTGTGACTAATTCTAAATTCCAAAGCTCTCTTTCTATGACTACTCTTCTTCTTCTTCTTCTTCTTCTTTATTTTGAGGGCCCACAATCAATGAATTGATCATTCTGGCTCCTCATGTGCAGAGACATATGCCCAACAATTAGCCTAAGCCCAGTTGAGCAACTGGCTATTTAGTAAGTTGTTTTTTTTAAATAAATCTGAACATATGTGCTAGCCCTAAAAATCTATACGTAGATACAAACATATGAAATCTATGGGTTTTTTTTCATGGACTCACCCTACGATAATTGTGAGAAACCATTTTTGGATAAATAAAGCTCTTATGTAATTATGTATCATGTCAGAGAAAGCAAAAATTTCTCACCTCTCTGCTTCTTTTGCCCGGGGTCCTGTCAGGGGGTGGGGGAGGCGGAGGTGATTGCTTCCCAACCTTGGCTGGACTCTGCGGAGGTGAGTCCCCATCAATCTTCTTCTGTTTGGCAGAGTAAAGATCCAACACTTGGTGACAGATATCTGTGACAAAATGGTAACCATAGGTTAAGATATGGCAGTCTGCTCAAGTCAACTTCTCCACTGATCCAGACTCCTTAAGACATGAAAGAACATTGCACCTGAATGTTTTAAGGAGATTTATATTTTAACCAACAAAATTCTTGTTGAACAATTTTGGTCTCACTCAAAAACTTTACAAAAATGTAATGTTCATACTAATGGTTTTATGTTAAAATTTTATTCAAAAAGTTATAAAAGTTAAGCTCTATAAAGAAATTTTTTCCTCTAGCAATCCCCTTGCCATACATAAAATATACCATACACCATCTTCCCGGCACATAAGGATCTCCTACAACAGTGCTCTCCAACCCGGGGGCTGCAAGCTGATTTTAAATGGCCGCCAAAGCTTGTAACATTTTTATGTTTGTAAAAAAATAAAATTAAATATTTTTAGGAGGAATATAATTTTAAAGCCACATTATTTGCTTTAGTATTATTGGAAAATCTTGTGAGAGCACAAGAGAAGTTGTAACATGGAAAAGAGGGAGGTCACCAACTCTAAGGAGTGCTATGGCTTGACATATACCGGTAGCATTTCTTGATGTCAAGCACATCAGCCAGCAAACTATTTGGGACGCAGTGGGGGACATAAAATGGGGTACAATCTTTTCCTTCTTTCTATTGCATCTCACTGGGTGTCAGATATAATCACGGATGGTGTTGGGACAGATGATGAATAGGGAAACCAAAAGTAACTTGATATGTGGCTATTAGGTCATTTTAAAAATCTCCATGGCCCCACCCAAGCAATAGATTGGTGATCACAGCAAGTGAACTACTGCATTTTGTGGTATGATATGACAGGAAAGTCTTCTGGTAAGAGTAATCGAGACTGGAGCGGGGGCACTAAAGGTGTCACAATTTAATGATTACGGTGGGCAGTGAACCATTTATGGTACCATATTATTTAAACAGGAAGTGTAGCCAGGTATGGGAAAACTGTGTGTCCATTCTGTATTGTTGTGACGTTGGGGACAAGTACCTGGTATTCAGAGATGAGAGAGTGAGATGTTCAATAAGTAGAAAGCAGAATACAAGCAGAGTTTGTTTGTAGTTAGTGCAGTGCAGCCATGGAGGAGTTGTGGGAGACAGTAGAAACGGTTCTTGACATTATTTTTTTATTAACAAACATAAGAATGCTTGGCAAAATAAATTCTGGATGACGTTTGTTTCTTCTGTGAGAATGTAACAACATTGTAACCATGTTTTTTGGAATCACCTTACATCACTGAAAGAACAACATTGAGTCCAAAAATCTTAACGCTTTGACTGGTGAACATTTAGAAAATCTAACGAGGGCATATCTACCAATAACTACCTCAAATTATGACAGTTGCAAGTACAATTCAAAGCCAAATATATAATTAAAAATGGCTACAGTTTTTATTCGATTTATTTATATTTTTAATGAGCTAATAATGCTATTGCATATGTGACTCTTTATACATCAGGTAAAATTTATTTCTAATATGAATAATTTTCTAAAAAGTAAAAAATAAATGTAATCTTCCTTTTGAGAAGTCATTTGCGGCCCTCGGGATCGTAGAAAAGAAATTTTGGCCCTCATTGTCAAAAAGTTTGGACAGCCCTGTCCTACACCATGTTGAATCACACATGTTTGGACAGCCCTGTCCTACACCATTTTGACATCACATATGTTTGGACAGCCCTGTCCAACACCATGTTGACATCACACATTTGGACAGCCCTGTCCTAAACCATGTTCACATCACACATGTTTGGACAGCCCTGTCCTACACCATGTTCACATCACACATGTTTGGACAGCCCTGTACTACACCATGTTCACATCACACATGTTTTAAATTTACTGAACTAATTGTTATTCCCTATTTCACCTTCCATCAACTCCATGGACATTCCTTCCACAAAGTCCTCCCACCATTTGGCCCTACTGCTGGACCTGCTGGACCAATCTGTTGGTTCAAACTTGGTCAGCCGGGAGGCCAGGTACATGAGGGAGACTGCCACAATCTCTGGTTCCCATTGCAAGCAAAGTGTTGTACACAGACTAGAGGGAAAGAATTCATGAAACAGGATCAGAGACCATTAAAAGTAGATCAGCAGTATATATTTATCTTGTTTTTGAAGGAATATCAAAATACAATTTACAAACTGGTCTGTATGGAAGAAAATACTTAGCAAAAAAACAAGAAAAGAATCCTGGTTATGTATTTAAATCATTGCTATATGAAAAGAAACATTTATACCCAAGTTTTTATGCATACATTTTTCATTATTAAAGATGAACCAAATTAATATGGGCACAACAAATTTTAAAAATGGTGCAAACATTTTTTTGTTGAATTAGAATATACATTTGTCAGCTTGTGTTCTTGGCTCATGGGACAGAGTTGTCAATAAAATGTTGTTTACATAAAAATATATATATCTTTATTAAATATATATCTATATATATTAAATATTTGAATCATTATATTACATAAACAAAGTATAGAATTGTACAATAGGTACATGGGGAAAAGAAATGCTTCTTTAAGAGAAAATGAGTAGTGAATAATCCATGATAATACTATATGAATAATGTACTACCTGTCATTAATAAAAGTCCAGGCCATCTGTGCCATTTTCTGAGTCTTTTCCTTGTCTCCTGATGATAGAGAAGAATTAAATGTGTAGGATTTCTAGTGCAGCTACTTTATTAATACTTCCAGTCCAGTGTCGAGCACACATCATTTAACCCTACAAATGTAAACAACATTTTTAAAAAAACGAATGAGAAATTTAACAGAAGAATGATAAAACTCCTGACGTGGAAACAATCCTGATTCCCCCTTGCGTCCAGGTGGCTGCTGTCTTTGAACAAGTGATTCTTCAAGGCCACACACATGAAAGGAAAGAAATGAGTTTTAAAATCAGGGAGGAAGGACGGGGGGGATCTCGCTCTTTCTTTCGCATCTTCAAGTCATGCATTTCATCACCCAGACTTTCTGGCCTGATGCAACAATTGTGTCCTCTCAAAATATCTATCTAGTACAGAGGACAGGTCTCCATGCATTCTCCAAGCTCGCATTTGTAAGTACTGATGCCTGAGATTGAAAGTTGCTTCCATCTCTAATTTCCTTTACCAAGCAAAAAACATGGTAAATTTCACTCATTAATGCCAGTTAGAAGTATTGTCAGTATTGTAAAAACATAGGTCGGTCTTTTTCTCTATCACACATTTATGCTTATAATACTGAGAACATCATTTCTTAAATTATTGAGTTTCTTATGATGAATAACATGATGTTCATGGAAAATAATAAATACTAAACACATTTATTTGAGAAACTTAAAAGAGTGTTCAGTATATGCTTGTTAAAATATTCTGCAATCTTGACCTTAATTTAGTTACTTTATTGATTGGATGATCATGGTATGGAATGATTTATTTTTTAAGGCTTCTTAAAAAATTCCGCCATAAAATTGATACACTATAACTATACAAACAACCAAAAAAAAGTTTGGATTTTTTAAAATTAATTGATTTCAAGAGTCCTAACAACATAAAATGGAAATAAACTCTTCACCTTTAAAATGTTTGGCAAATTTGAGCATGCAACTGTATGGATGTTCTACTTGAAGATCAAACTTAATTGTCTTCAGCAAGATTCTCTCCATGGTCATTACCTCCTCCTGGGAAAACAAAAATGAAAAAAATGAATTATTAAAATTCAACATGATCATTTTAAGATTTAATATCTTGGATTTAATAAATTTACAACTATACGCATTTATTCCATTAGTTTTATTAATAGGGGATTGATGACCAAATATATCCCCTTAGACTGGTGCCGGCCATCCCAGCAGGCACGTACCTCACCCCACAGAAGCCGGGTACACTGATCAGAGCAAAACCCTCACTGAACACTGACTTCACCACTGACATTCCCATCCCATAAACAATTACACAAGAAACAATAGCAAATGCCTCAGTGCAACACAGTGCAGTATTAATAATCTTTCTTCCCATGCACAATAATAGCATGGAACCACCTGAACGATGCCACTGTGAACTCGACATCGGTGGAAAGTTTCAAGGCTGCCCTGGCATCAACTAGGAGCTGTTAGAATAGCAACATCATATCCCCAACCGTTGCAATACAGTACATGGATGCAGCAACGAAACATTACCAGAACCAGAATATAAATAACTATCTTCTGGGAAATGTTTTTTTTAACAAAGCTTGGCATGATGCTAAAATTAAAAATGAACTCAACTTTTTTACATTTGTCTTAACAAACTAACATTTAAAATCCCATGTGTTGTCTCAGTTGTGCATTCAAAATGATACATCTGACGATAAGAAAACGTGATACTGTGTCGAGCATGAATGAAAATGATCAAGCAGACTGTAAGAGTTCTCACCCTTTGATCATCCCCAAACCTCAGGAAAGATGCCGGTGACAAAAGGGACTGAGCTATTTTAATGATATCTTTACACTTTTTGGGCGTCTCTTCCACCTTCCCAGCCAAGAATAGGCAACAAGCTGCAGTTACCTGGTTAGAAAATATTATGTTAAAATATATTAAAACAGCCCTATTATTTATTTATTTCTATGAGGAAACGGCCAAGATATAAATTTGTTAAACTCGGACAATTACAATATTATTAATATGAAGTGAAAAATTTAAATCACTGTCAAAGATGTTAGAAAGTGAACAATATTGTATGTGGTTAAAAGTGAACAATATTGTATGTGGTTCAAAGTGAACAATATTGTATGTGGTTCAAAGTGAACAATATTGTATGTGGTTCAAAGTGAACAATATAGTAAGTGGTTCAAAGTGAACAATATTGTATGTGGTTCAAAGTGAACAATATTGTATGTGGTTCAAAGTGAACAATATAGTATGTGGTTCAAAGTGAACAATATTGTATGTGGTTCAAAGTGAAAACTATTGTATGTGGTTCAAAGTGAACAATATAGTATGTGGTTCAAAGTGAACAATATTGTATGTGGTTCAAGGTAAAATTTTATGGCAGAGAAACATCCAGCTGCTTGTAGAAAAAAAAAACGAGTTCACTTCCCAGAACAACCCAGAGAAAAATAACCAAAGAAAGCTGAACAAAAGAGAAATATTTGCAGACAGCTCCCACAAGAAGGAGTCAGCAGACAGAAGTGGTGCTCCTTGGCTGTTGGCTCAGGCACCGGTGGATGCATGCAAACTGATGGAATGAATCTTTGAGTAAAAGCATTATTAATAAACATACCATAACCTTTGTCATTAAATGACAAATTTGGCGGATGGTCCAATGATATAGTCATATATTAGTCTAGATATTCATTGTAAATCACTCACTGAGTAGAAAGAAGAAAGAAGGTGAAACACACAGACATAAATTTAATTTAAATTTTTACTATATTTTTATAAAATATGGATGGTATATAATGTAGATAAAACTTACATATCTGTAAAATTCTTTGAAAGAATGAAACATGTAGAAGCGATGGAAGTAAACAACTCCTGTAGCACATGTGTCATAACGTCTAGAGGAACATCAAGGAAAACAAAGCTACTTCAGACTACATAAATACAGATTTGACCTCATGATTTTTGATGTTGGAGTTGAAAGTCATCAAACATCAACCTCTTTGCTACAGCTGGGTTTTTTAATCAAGAAAGATTTTAAACATTTTTGACTGTCGATTTTGGCTTAAGTAAATGAAATTTCATTTGGATCATATTTTTCTATTGCATGTAACTTCATTCATAATTTATTGATAACCTAGTAAATGCATATATAATACACTGAAATTTATTTTGAAATAATTAATGAAGGTTAGTAAATGTTTTAAGAACAAAAAAACTTTGTTTTTATTCATAAATCGATGAATAAAACAGAAATATGCAGTGCAGCCACTGTTTTTCTTGAATAATATCTAGTAAATGTGTTTAAATTGTTCACAGGATGGCCTGTGAATGATATTGTCAAACCATTAAAAAATATACAATAGCTATGACCCCTGAATTTTGAAAGGGTTCGCTAATTTTAGCAAAAATTAATGTGGCCATTCAAAATTTCTGATAGTAATACAAATGTTAAAGGAAATATTAATATTGTAAGAGAACATTATATTTATGTCCCTAAGAAGGAACTTGTTGAAATTTTTTACGCTATTTTTAGATGATGGAAAGTTATGCTTTTTGGTACTAACCACTGGTCATTTTAAAACTAGGCATCTATTTTGGAGTTCCCTTAGGTATTTACGTTTTATTTCAGAGTCTGACAAATCTCTAGTAGGGGACAGTCAAACAAATAGATATATTCATAAACACACACATAATTAGACTAAGGTCTAGGTCATTAAGTTGAAATTTTTAAATGCTATTTTGATGTTCCAATAAAAATGTATTTAATAAACTTTTTTTTTTAAGAATTAAAACCCACCAAAAAGTAGAAAATCATTTACAATTTATTAAAATGCATTACGCAAAGAAAGACTGAAAAAATGTAGATGAGCACTCTAAGGAGTAAAAGGATTGGAATTAAATATAGATAATGCTTAATAAATATGTTATAGTTTTATTAATTTTAAATAAAAAATTTCTGCAGACTTTCTCTGTATACTGTATTCTAAGAAATTTTAAATTGTTTTCTATTTTTTAATGTGTTTTAACTCGTTTTTTATAGAAGATCTATTTTGAATATTTTTATCAATTTTCCACTTTTAGTATTTAAATTTTAATCTTTAAATTTTTCAACAAATATAAAATTATTTAGCTCACCCACCCACCCTTTCACTTCATGTAGCAGATATGGTCAACCATGATAATTTGAGAGACAGAGTGAACCCACCTCTAGCCTTTTACCAGGTGAACTCTGAATGAGAAATCTTAAAATGACAAAAAACAATCCATTTACACACAAAATGGATGGATATGTCAGTAGAGAGAAATTCTTTCAAAAAAGGATACAATCCCATCTTTGTACCAGCATCAATAATGAATCGTGCCCCTTCTCGTCTGTACCTGTTCTCTGTAGCAGTATCAATACCATCACGAAACGATGGTGAGTTCTTAATTTCTTTTCTTTCAAAATACCAACAAGGCATTTTCAGAATCTGTTCCTATTTACTTTTTATTCACTGCTACCTGTAAATATGCAAACAAATCATTTGACAATAAATACCTGTAGAGTGTGAATAGGCCTATATAATAATAATTTAAATAATAAAATTAAAATACTGCAACTGCAGCAGATAAACTTATTACTTTATTATTATACTTCGAAGCCCTTAGCCTTTGCGGTGTTACCCTCCCTTAGTCGTACCTTGCATTTAATTAATAACACTATCTTCTTACATCCTAAATCGTTAAAAAGAAATCACCGGGCTCAAACTAGTTTAAAGCTCAGTAGTTAGTAGTAGTAGTAGTCGTTACAAATCAATTTATTTCACTAGAAATAATTTTTAGCGCTCAAATAAGGGATTACCCAGGGAAAGTAAAGAGGACTTTGGAAAACATTCATATGGATAAATACTTTTTTTTACTTTCTATATTTTCCATTAACTTCTCATATAATTTTAATATTGCTTACCTACATAAATTATTGATCAGACTTGGAAAGAAAACACGACTAGCTAAACATGTTAGGTGATACTAACTGTCGAGTTCTGACAAACACAGGACCAATTAAAATAAATTCAAGAATTGCTTTTTTCGTCAACTTAAAATTCACACAAAGTGATTTATATATATATATATATATATATATATATATATATATATATAGAGAGAGAGAGAGAGAGAGATTAAATATATTTAGATATATATACATGTGTGTGTTTTTTTTTTAGAAAAATGGATATATATATTTTTTTTTTTTTNTCAATTTTTATTTTAATCGGTTTCCAAACGTTTCATTGATACCATAGCACCCCCATTTCTTCTGCATGTCTCTGTAACAATTTAGTTTCCCTAATATAATAATTGTTCTTGATGAAAACCAAAAAAAGCAACTTATTAAATGATTATTTCTTTGTGGGTGGCATTAACGAAAGCTTAATCATGAATTTTGAAACTTGTTAACAAGCTGCATTTTAATTTTAAGCATCTCATTAAATATGCCATATTTAAACATGAAATTTTTAGCCATAAATGACTATTCCCCCCCCCCCTTCACCCTCCCCTTTCCCCAAACGTAGTGGATATTCGCACCAGGGTACCATAAATGAGAGATTTGGGATTAAAAAACTATTTAAAACATTATTGTTGGGTTTGTAAGAAAAAAAAAAGAGATATCAAATGAAAGATAATTGAATGGACTATATGTTTGTAAACTTACATCTTCAGTTTAACTAAAATAAACTAACACAAATGACATGGAACTCAACCTTTCTTTCAGAAAATCGTACGTTTTAATCTTTAAACTTTAAAAAATCATTGAAACCCTATATTAAGTGTGTTTTCATGTGGGGTAGACAGTCGCTGAGATACTATAATATATGGGATTCTTTTTTTTTTAGCATTTTTTTACAGTTACAGTTACAATGGCATTCATTTATAAAATATGTATATTTATTTTTTTTAAAGTTAACTTTGTACCAGCCGCTTGCTGGCCCTATTATAAAAAAAAAAAAGAACCAAAAAAAAACAAAAAAAAAATCCACTTAAGTAGCTCTTCTTCTTTAAAAATTACTAATTTACGGTTACGGCAAACTGAAATAAAATGTCGGCGCCCTGGAATCACCTTAAACAGTTTCAGGTAGCATTTGTAATTATTTATAATTCTTAATTAAAAGCTCACTAATGTGAATTTTTAATATTAATTACAGTTTACTCATTTTAATATTTCTCTTCAATCCATAGACTTGTTTAAATTCTAGTTTTTAGAGAAATAAGGTTTTGGAGTTTTAAAGTTTCTAAAATTATTCAGTAGAACTTGGTGACTTGGACTTAGTCTTAGTTTCACTTAGTTAACTTAGGTTAGGTCTTAGTCTTTGTTAAAGTTAGTAGTAGTAGACCAGCAGTAGACGTAGAGACTGAGAGGTGACTAGCCGAAGCCTAAACTAAGACAAACAAACAAGTTGTGGGATGCACAGAATCAAAAAGTAAAGTGTTTCATTTCAGTAAGAGTAAGACAATAGGCCTAGAGCCTAGAGTTATATTTTTTTAAACTATTTCTCCAGCCCCAGGGTTGCCAAATTACTACCAGATAATTGCTTTAAAATTAAATTGTATCTCATGTATACTGTAAAGTAAATGTCCAGACTAAAAATTTATCCTAAAAAGAATTGTCAAATTCTGTGAATTGTAAATAGGCACTTCACTAAGCTGCGCGCGCCGGTCGATTTTTCGGATGCGAGAAACAGACCATTAACCGGCGACCGGTCAATGCCGGTAGGTCACAGGGTCATGTTTAGATTTCGTTTCTTTGTCTATGTAAGGGAGAGACAATGAACTTCCTATAGTCTATTTTGTGCCCACGAGGAGGACGATCATTACAAAATGAACTTTTTCACCGGACTGACAGGGCTTTTGGCAGATATCTTTCGTTGGGAAAACAGGTAATTTTGCTAGCGCTATATTTCGGAAACCATTATCGTATTGCAATCAATTCCTTTTGTATTGAATGTTAAAGTGATTTAACTAATTGAAACAAGAAACATATTGACATTTAGATAGGCCGTAAATTGTATAAACAGGGCGTTCGGGCGTAAATTTGAGCAATAGCTCCTGACCAGTTATCGATAAGGCCAAATGCACCGGAAGTGATAACCATTCTCTGTTATTATTATTCTTATTGCATAAGAAGTATTTACAAATCTTTATAAATC